AATACTAACACAACAAATTAAAAAGATAGATATCTAACAACAAATAAAAAACTCCTAAACTCTTAAAATAATGCCTTATTCAAAAGGAAGACATATTACTAATATTATTAACATTAAATCACCTATCATAAAGCAAAATGGAAATAGACAATAAGGAAAGAAGCCAAAAATAAAATTCTTAATTTTTATGTATTCATAATATAACCTAACATACCCAACACGTTGATGGCTATAGGGAGTTAACAATTGTTTTCTGCTGATTGTCTGACCACCTAAGCAAGAAAATAACTTTGCTCAGGTGGGCAAAAAGCTACCAGTAACAATATCCCAAAAGGAAATCAAAGAAGTGGAAAGAGTTTTTATCCATTCCACTGATAATTTTTAAACTGAAGACAGAATAAAAACTCTTCCAAAGTTGCCCCTTTCCGCTATTTCAGGTCAAGAAGGCTTGAGATAGTGTACATCTATAGCTCCTCCCTCACTGGATTCACAGGGGCTTTAACTGTCTGCATTTTATGTACTGAGAATCTAACACATAATTTATCAATGAATTGATAAATTTTTTTCAGAAAAAAAATAAGAACATTTTTTTGGAGAATTAAACATCGATAATTAACTTTGGAATGTGGCAATTTTAATGCCATCCAGATGTTGTAAAAGATTCTCTAAAATTCTAATGTAAAATGAGCTCTGAAAGAAATAGACCCAGGGCTAAAAATTATGAGAATATTTTGTTATACTAGTATTTGCATCTTCTTTACAGAAATTTAAGATTTAATCTCACTCTGTAATAATTTAGCCAAAAGTATGGAAACTAAATAAAATATATTGGTAAAAGACTGTTATGTGTGCAACAGATACATTGGTGTAATAAGGTTAAAATGACCTATTCAGCTAAAAAGGTTCAACTTGTAATCTGAAGATATATTTAAGATTTAAGGAGTACTGTATTCACTGAGGAATAAAAATAGAAAATAGTTGTGTGATTGACTGATACACAATACATAATATATATGGATTTCAGCTTTATCAGCTATTTCAGATTTGCTCACTCTTTAATATTAACCTTTCTAATTTCTATATGAAAACAACTTTAAATGAAGATTTATTTATTTATTTATTCTGGTGGAATAAAATTAATACTTTATTTTCTTCCATTTCCCTACTTTTCTTTTCCAATCTTTTAAACAAAGCTATCAAGAGCATCTCCATACAGGTATTTCAGCAATGGAAATCTAAAATAGGAGCAATGTAATTTACAGCCATTTATACAATCTAAAAAATTAAGTGGTAGAATTTATAGCTCTATCTCCATTTGCAAAGAATACTTTAAATATGCACTATCAAAGATTATGGCTGCAAAATAAATATGAAAGAAACTGTCAGTATCTCTAACAAAAGACAAACAACAATACGGTCTGAATGTCTGTGGGGAAACATATCCCAGAGGTTTAAAAACAATTAAAAAATCTAAGTCCTTAAGAGGAACTAACATAAAGTACAATGTCAGCTTTTCCATATTGTTTTAGAAATGACAACTTTTGGCAGTTATCACTTAAATCATACCTCAGAAGAGATTGCATATCATTAAAAAATGAAAGAAACAAAAGTTCATTATTTGCTAAATTTCAATATTTCTTTTTGGATGTAGTCAAAAACCAGGAACATAAAGTGAAGAAATAATAAGAATTTATGGGTGAAAGTAATATTAAATAGCTTGCTGTTCATTGCCACTGCAATTTAACATATAATTAAATCAAATTCAATTTAATTAACTAAGTATCGCTATTATTTTGGTTTTTAAAAAACTTGTACTTTGAACGTATATTTCAGTGACAGAATCATCTATCTTTTCCTATGAACTGTCCATTATCTATGAATCATTATTAGTTTTGGATTATACAGTATATAAAATCTGATGGGATGTCTGAATATATGAGAGCAAGATTAAATGAGAGATATCACCCACCAACTCCACCTATAATAAGATGCTGAACATCAGTCATTACCAACATCCTGCTCTTATACATAAAAATCAAACACAAATCAGAAGCAAGTCACAACAGCAATTCCTGGGAGCCAAGGAAGCTGGATAGGTTACTTTGGGCTAGTCACTTTCCTAGCCCAACCCACTCCACAGGGTTATTGTTATGAGGAAAATAGGAGACATATCCTATTTTAATATCCTAGTATTAGATATGTTCACCAGCTTGAGATTTTATATATATGAAAAGTGGGGTAAAAATCATCATCATCATCATCATCAAGAAGGGGAGTAGCATACAGGCACCTACTGTGTACCCCTTGCATACAGAGTAGGAGGCTAGCAATTCTCAGAACTCCCAACTCCATCTATCCTTAGTTGGTTTTTTTTTTTAGCTAAAATCGACAAGGCTCCCACCTCCACACAAAAGCCATCAGCCCAAAGGCACAGCCAGGGACAGAGCAAATTCTCTGAGGAAGCCCACCCCGGCATGGCCCAGCCACCCCGCAGAGCCCAGCTGAGCCTGCAATACCTGTGACCCCCGTGTCAGGCCCCGGCCGCTGAGCTGTGCATGCCGAAGCTGGGCCAGGATGTTGATCGGTCCTCTCTTTGCTTCACGCCGGCCAGGCGTGCAGGAAACAGGGTCCGCTGCTGGTGGCAGAGCTAGCAATGCAGCTCCTGCACCCCCTATTGTGGATGCCATAGTCGCTCTTGCCCCGGCCAGACGCAAACAGGAAGCTTCTCTCCTCTCGGAGCTTTGTGCGTTGGGACGCCTTCCGGGACGAGGTGGGACGGCGACAGGAAGTACGCTTATTTACCTAAGGGATGATGGGAAATGAAGTCTTTGGGCATAACTAGGTACCGGTACTGTACTGTGTACTAAGAGAAGGGAGCACTGAACAACGTCAGCAAAGAGGAAAACGCTGCTGTTATATGTCTTCCGCAATCAAAGACTTCAGATTTTATGTCATCCAGGCTGCTGGTGGGATCAAGCTTGGTATTCTCTCATCTTAGGTTTTTTTTTCTGTCGGTTTCTGATTAGCGGTTGTCCGGATTTTTATCACCGGTTGAAAAATCTAAAATCCATTAGAGAGTCTCGGTCCTGTTCCCCAAAAGAAGCTTCATATACGAGGAACCGGGACCGGGACCGGCTCTGTAAGGCTATTGTTATTTAAGCTCTTATCTTTCTTTTTATTATTGTTGAATAATATGCCACCTTGTTCCCGGCGATTCGGGATGGGGTTTTACAATTTACGGCCCTAAACTCTTCCTCAGTAGCATATTGAGTGCCATCCTGCCTTTAGAAGCCCATCATCCAAGACTATATCATCAAACATTTTGTTTCCTCTCCATGTGGTTTTTAAAAATAAAAACACAGAATTGGTTTATTATTGCCTTCTGTAGTGCAGTATGAAATGATGTCTTTGCCTTTATCACTACTGATCGTCTGCATCCAGCATCTTCCTGTATCGCTGTTGCTGCTAAGAGATGGTATACAGTCTTGCTGTCCTTTGCTCACCCTTCCCAGGAACACCTCACTTTCACCCCAATGGGACAATATAGCAGGATTTGAGAAAAGTGCCCATTCAATCCCCAAAATATGCTGAGTAAAGAAAAGCAGAGACCAAGCAATTAAGTCAGTGAAAGCAAGGAGCAGTTGAGTCAGGAGATTCTAGGTGCTGATCTTCAGCAGATGCTTGCCAAAATCAAATCTGGGCAACACTTCATAGAACTACGTATAATACCAAAGGATTCTTTAGGCCACCATTTCCAAACCCTTGCTCCAAACCCATATGTCACTGTAATAGCTGAAACTTCGAGGACCTGACATGAGTCCTTGTTTGCCACTGCAGTATGAGTGTATGCTGTATGAGTGGCTATAACACAAGGACTACCTGTATATGATTAGCAATCATTATAATTGATTTGAGATTATTGAAAAAGGAATTGATCACACTCAGCTTTCTCTTAAAAGCAGGACTTCCAGAGATAAATGGGCACTTTCTTCAACACTTGAGTTCTTCAATTAAATCTTTCTTGTGAAGGCTGACTCTTCCTCCAATCTGTTCTTTTGTGCTTTTCCCAGTGTTTTTTTGTAAAAAAAAAAAAAAAAAAAAAAAGGTGCCGGAACTCACACACGTCATA